TGGAGCTCCCGGGGACGGTGGGGCCCGTTATGTGACCCAGGTATCCAACCGCATGCGCTTCACCGAGGGGCTCTCCCCCTCGGGCTCGCTGCTGGGCCGCAGGAGCCCCAGGGATGAGCCGAAATCGGGGCGGGCGGGATCGTCCCGCTCGCTGCTGCCCTCGTACGAGCTGGTGTTGCTGCTGAGGCTGTCGACGGGCGAGCGGCCGGTGGGCTCGTGCCGGGGCTGGTGGGGGAAGGTGCTGAGCGGGGTGGCAGTGTTCCTCTCCCGGTTGGGCGAGACGGGCTCCGACTTGATGCTGATGTTGGGGTTGGTGTTGACAGTCAAAGTGGTGGTGTGGGACAAGTGACTCCCTTGTCTGGGCATCCAGAAGGTGGGGGAAAGGTTGGGAGAGGAGGAGGAGGAGAGCAGAAGGGGAGGAAGGGGGAGAAAAAGATGGAGGAGGAGATAATGGGAAATCTCTCATTATTATCTTTTTGGTGGCCTTTTATCCTCCAGTGCACAGAATTCAGAACCTGCACAGGCTACAGCCAAACAAACCCATGATTATAAACCTGGATTAGATTATTAGTCTGGATTCATAAACAGAACTATGACTTCAGAATCAGAATTGTGACTCCAGAATTCATAATCTGTGCAGTCACCAGGACATATCACCACCGAGCTGGGATCAGACCCTGTGGGCAGAATCCCTCCTCCCCCAGCACCCCATGATCCAGCCCCAATCCCTCCCATTGTCCCTCAGCAGTGGCCCAAACCCATGGAGAAGAGGGACAGGCTGTGACACCCCTGTCCCATGGGTGTCCCTACAGCTCTGCCCCAGCATCCCTGTGGGCTGCACAGACCCAGCACGGGGCTCAGCCAGGTGCTTTAGCTCCAGACTGGGAACCTCCTCAACCTCTACTACAACACAGAATTCTGTCCAGGCTTTCCACACATCCTGCAGCCCCCCTGGTGTAGGAGGTCCAGGCAGCTACTGAGGAAGCTGCTGCCAGCCCTGCCTGGAAAACAGGCACCAAGCAGTGAGCAAACACTAAACTCCTACACAAAAACCTGGTCCACCCCTCCATCCATCCACCCCTCCATCCATCCACCCCTCCATCCATCCACCCCTCCACCCCTCCATCCATCCATCCATCCATCCATCCATCCATCCATCCATCCATCCATCCATCCATCATCCATCATCCATCATCCATCCATGGTGGAAATGCTGGCAAGTGGCTTAAATCCTTATTTTGACTGTGTAATTCTGGGTGTGGATGCTTTATTCCAGACTAAAAGCAGTTCTACTTCAAAAATCCTGCCCTAAGATGCAAGTACTTGTATTTTCTGCCCTGGAGAAAAGCAACCTCTTTGTAATACTAAAAGCCACCTTCTTCTATACCAGCAGGGCACAATTCCAGGCACCTTATCCTGCAATGTCCATCCCATCTAACACTGCCTCTGGCTGGTTCTCAGCTCCCCCAGGTGAGTACAGGGATCAATCCCACTGAGGACAGGCAGCAGGACAAGGCTCTTGGAGCATCCTCAAGTAGCCTGATCTCAACCAGGGACTCTGGGTCACTCCTACAGTGACAGGGACAGGCCTTCACAAGCCAGCTGTGCTGGGCCCTCCTGCAGCTGTGCATGGGCACACAGCTCCTGCCCCCAAGGAACACAGCGTGGACCCACCAGGGCCTGATGCTGGGAGTCTGGAGAACACAGGGAGTGGTCACAGCTGGGGCTCTGCAGGGTTGGCACCCTCAGAGATTTCCCCATTTCCCTACTGTGTCACTTACATTAAGTTTCCTAGTGACACTGGGACCAGGTGCTGCTGCTGCGGCTGCTGCTGTGGTTGCTGCTGCTGTTGCTGTTGTTGCTGCTGCTGCTGCTGTTGCTGCTGCTGTTGCTGCTGCTGTTGCTGCTGCTGCTGCTGCTGCTGCCAGGCAGAGATGTTGCCAAGGGACAGCCCTCCAGGTGAGCTGAATGCTGGCAGCGAGGACAGCTCAGCGCTTGTCAGCTGATAATCTGGAAGGGAAGGAGACCTGCAGTCATTTCAATGTCAAACCTGCCCCCACAGTGCCCTGAGCACTGAGAGAAGATGGAGACCCACAAGAGACACAAATGCACAATGTGGAATGTGGGCTCATGCTGTGAGTGGCACAGGGATGCTGGCCAGGGGAAACACCTCGTGCCTGTGGAATGGCTTGTGCTGGAGTCACAGAATCAATTCAGCTGGAAAAGACCTCCGAGATCCAGTCCAACCTATGACCAAACTCTACAGGTCAACTAAGTGCCACCTAAAGGACATTTAAAGGCCATCTAGTCCAACATGCAGGGGCACCCTCCACTATCCCAGGCTGCTCCAAGCCCTGTTCAACCTGGCCTTAGACACTTCCAGGAATGGGACAGCCACAGATGCTCTGGGCAACCTGTGCCAGTGCCTCAACACTCTCGGTGTAAACAATTTCCTCCTTATATCCAGATGTCTTCCAACCTCAAGGCATGTGCTGCTGGCAGGGCTTCCACCCTCCACACCCCAGAACAGCCAGCAGTGCCCCTGGCCGCCAGGCACAGCAGTGGCCAGGGCAGCCCCATGATGCAGCCATGTCTGGCTCCCCTCAGGAAGGGCCATGGGCAGGTGAGATCCCCAGAGCCACCTCCAGAGCCAGGTGTACAGTGCACACTTCCTCCCCTCCCAGGCCAGCAAACGCTGGCAGCTGACACCCACCCGTGCCTGGGGCACACCTGGGGCACCCCCATCCAGCCTGGGGCACACCTGGGGCACCCCCATCCAGCCTGGGGCACACCTGGGGCACCCTCACCTGTGCCTGGGGCACACCTGGGCCAGCCCCACCCAGCCTGGGCCAGCCCCACGCGCAGTGTCCCTGGTGGCAGCAGGGGGCGCTCCCTGCCCGCCTTGGGGACACGGAGCTGTCACTGTGTCCCCCACACGGGCACCCCACACCCCGCTACCCTCCCTCCCACCCCCACACTTGCAAGGCAACGCCTCTCCCATGCAGAACCTCGGGAGCACCGAAAATCCCACTGGGGCACCTCATTCCAGGTGGGAATTTTAGCAAGGGTGTGAATGCTGGCAGAGAAAGCCAGGGAGGGAAGTGCTGCTCCTTCAGCAGATGGTCAAACCTCGGTCAGCCATGTCAGCCTGGCACAGACACCCATCAAATCCTCCTCACACCCTCTCCTCCTCCTTTCTCTCTCTAATTTTGGGTGTCTCGTGGTTTCGGCTGTCCCCACCCCAGCAGCACACACAGAGGTGGCTGTGCCGGTGCTGAACTGCTGCCAACGCCACTGGCGGAATCCCGGCACACCCCTCCCAAAATCCTGGCAGCGGGTTCCCTGTTCCACACCATCCTCCACCCCCTGCACCGGCTCTTCTGGTTTGGGAGCTCCTGACACTCACTGGTGACAGTGGCTGTCCCTGCAGCCCCCAGCAGGGCTGGAGCTGGAGCCAGCCCAGATCACAGAGCTGGCAATGGTCAGCTTTGACTGAACCCGGCGGCAGAGCCAGCACAGGAAAGGGCACATAACTCTGGCCAGAGGGCAGCTCAGGACACCTGCACCAGCCTGAGAGCCAGGCAAGATCCACCCAACTAACAGGTGAGTCTTGGGAAGAGCAAATGGCAACGCTCCAGGCTGGGAGTTTGCTCAGGGCATCTGCACCCCTGCACCACCTACACAATGATCACCTCTGCAGCATCACAGAATCACAGAATTATTTAGGTTGGAAAGGCTGTCCAAGCCCATCCAGTCCAATTGTTCCCTCAGCACTGCCAAGGCCACCACTAAAGCATGTCCCCAGCTGTCACAGTCTGTTAAATCCCTCCAGGCATGGTGACACCACCGCTGCCCCAGACAGTCTGTTCCAAAGCCTGAACACCTTTTCCACATAGAAATTTTCCTTAATATCCCACCTAAACCTCCCCTGGCACAACCTGGGGCCGTTTCCCTTTGTCCTGCCTTTTGCTACCTGTGAGCAGAGCCTGAACCCCACCTGGCTGCCCCCTCCTGTCAGGGAGTTGTGGAGAGTGAGAAAGTCCCCCTGAGCCTCCTTTTCAGTTCCAGGCTGAACCCCCTCAGCTCCTTGTGCTCCAGACCCTTGACAAATCAAGACAATTCCTATCCAATTAAAAGGGCAGCTCTGGTAAAACTGCCAGGTTGGGAGTTTGCACCCTACAGGGGTGCCCCCCACACTCACCCCACAGCAAACACCTCAGCACAGACACCACTGGCACTTGGGCAGGAACACGCCTCTACCCATGGTCAGCTGTGAGAAAAAATAACTACACAGAGCCAAAATTCAAGCCCCTCCACCCTGAGCAGCAGCACAGGGCTTAATTAAAACCTATTTTGGGGATTCTGGCTGTGCCCAGCCTGGCTGGTAAACCGCATGGTCACACAGGGAGAGGGGCCTCATCACGCACAACCAGCATCTTTGGGGCTACACCTACTAATTAGGAGAGGGAGTTCCCAACATGCCAGTTCTGAGTTCTTCCAGACAAGCAGCTTTTTACATTTTTGCAAACTTTTCTCTGAGCCAGAACAAGTTACACAGGCAGCCAGCAAGTCCTCAAAGTCCTGGTGGAGGTCTGACAGGTAGCAGATGAACAACCCTTCTGCTTGGGAAGTGCACTGTCACTGTTGCCTCAGGCTGATTTCAATCCACCAGCCCAAATCAGATGTGCCTGTGAGCAGGCTGGTTTGCATTCTTCCCAAACTTTTGGGGGGCCTACGCTTGTTGTCATTATTACAACATCCCCTGAGCTCTGAGAGCATGAGGATGGGTGTAGCTGTGATTAACATCCACTTGCACAGTGCAATGGGCTACATCAGCCCTCACAGCCCTTCTGGCTGTGAGTTCTCCCCACTTAATATAAAGAGTTTCCCTTGATTTTAATCCTGCAGAACCCTTGGACCCTGCCACATCTTGCAGTGGCGAGTTCCACAAGCATCACTGCATTGCCTGGGGAGCACCAGGCACGTGCCTGCAGCAGCAATTTCCCTCTGGTGTTACCTGACCCACCCGAGAGCTCTGCCTGGCCACGTCTCACCTGTGCCAGGGCCCTACCTGGCCACATCTCACCTGTGCCAGAGCTCTCCCTGGCCACGTCTCACCTGTGCCAGAGCTCTCCCTGGCCACGTCTCACCTGTGCCAGAGCTCTCCCTGGCCACGTCTCACCTGTGCCAGAGCTCTCCCTGGCCATGTCTCACCTGTGCCAGAGCTCTCCCTGGCCATGTCTTACCTGTGTTGTACGCCGTGGGCATGGCTGAGAAGGGCAGCCCCTGTGTCAGCAAGCTCGGAGTTGCCACGGAAACAACTGGTGTGGTCAGAGAGTGGGTTGCTTGAGAGACACCCAACCGCTGTGTGTTTTGCTGCGGGAGCAAACAGGGAGGGAGTTAAAGCCCAGATGGTTGGACTTGGTCGTCTCCGTGGGTTGTGGCCCCCTCAAACCCCCTGAGCATGCACTGGGGCTGAGCATGGAGACTGTGGGACAAGCAGGATTGATCCTCTGGCCATTCCACACTGCAAAAAAGCAAAGTACAAACCACACCAGCCACTGACACTCTGGACCTTGTGAAATTCATGTGCAGTCCCCTTCCTGCCCAGGGCTGGGCTTCACCCACCAACACCAGCCATGTCCCCGTGTGTGTGGAGGGGGAAAATCAGCAGGACACCTCAGACAATTCCTCACTGCTTTCCAGACGTTGCATGTGAGGCTTGCTGAGCTTCCAAGGAGTGGCAAAGGGACCAAAGCAAACCAAGACCAGCTGAGGCAGCACAGAGCTGACATCTCCTCCCTGCAGCTCTGCTGGCCAAGAACAAGCCCCTGCCTCGAGGGAAGCTGAGGACACTAAGAATTTGCCTCAGGATTTTAAAGGGACTCTGGCATCTCTGAACTCCAAGCCCAGTGCTTGCCAGCCTGCCTGCTCAGTGCCCTCACAAGGTTTTGGTGACTCAGGTCCACTGTGGAAAAGTTCTGCCCTTGGACCAGCGCACACCAACCTCCCCCCATGGTTTTCCAGGCAGTTACGTGGGCGGATCTATAGGTCAGATTCAGCCCTGTTTACAAGGCAGATAATCTGAGCTGTCTCTGCTGATCTGATTTAAATCAGACTCAAGAGGCTTGACTCTAATCCCAAGCACCCCAGCACACGTCACCCTGTGAAGACTGGGGCAGTGCCCAGCTTCAATCACGCCTGGCACGAGGCTGGCTGGGACACAGCGAGCAGGTTCCTGTAGAACCGAGGGCTCCTGGGGCCTTGCAGGGCTGGGCACAGACTCTGCAGTGCTTCCCCATGGCCAGGGAGACTCTCCTGGGACAAGGCTGGAGGCTAAAACCCTGGCCTGGCCACCTCCAGAGGGTAACAGCACCTGGCTGTGCAGGATTTGCTCACCCTGCGCCCACACACTGCCCAGCCCGCAGGTCCCTTCTGTGGCCGGGGAAGGCGATTACCAGGGCTCTAATTGCTAAAGCTCGGGGGCTGGAGGAGCGGGTTTTCCTGGCACACAGCCTGCTGGCAGCTGCCCTCGGCCAATGCCCACTGCTGTGGGGTAAAGACATAGGAAGAAATGTCCTCACAGCAGGTAGGACACAGCCCTGGCCCTGTCCTGCCTGCACGAGACCCTAAGCCAGCCCAGTGGGGTGCAGCCCTCACAGCCCCATCCCTTCTGCCCGTCACCCCATGGCTCTGTGGCTTTCCTGGGAGAGCACAGGGTCCAACGTGGCCATGCCACAGGGCTGGTGGGACACCAGCTGGGCAGGGTGTGCCAGCCCCAGGAACCTCCTTGGCACCACAAGGCGAGCGTGGGGATGTCAGCCCCAGCTGTGCTGGGTGAAACACCCCGATTTGCACCACAATCCATGCAGGGAGGAGATGTGCAAGCTGCCCCCCACATCGTGCCACTCACACCCCGTGCCCACAGACAGTGCTCCCGGCTGCCATTCCAGTTGGTGACACACCATGCAGCATGCTCCCAGAGAACAGATCCTGCTGCCCCTGGCGTGTCAGGAGCGTGCAGAGAAATGGGGGGACGCCTCTCTGAAGGGTGTAAGGGAGGAGAGCACGCTCAGAGCTGCAGGAGCAGCGCTGAGGATGGCAGGGCTGAGGCTGCGGGCAGCTGGGACCCAGTGGAGGGGCCGCTGACTCATCTGGCAGCTGCCTGGAAAGAGGTGGGAGCTGCCATTTGAAGAGAGGCTCTGGTGTGTAGGTTGAGCAATATGGAAGGAGCAAATCTGGGGAGAAGGTTAGCGGAGCAGGGGGGCATCTGCACCAGGCAGGAGGGATCTGCAGGGACAACACTTGGCAGTCCCCTTCCTGATCCAGCAGTGCCAAGGTCCCTGTCCCACGCTGCCCATATTTCCTTACTCTCCATCCCCCTGCTGCCACCTTGGCTGGGGCCAGGATGTTTTTCACTTCAGGGAAAAACCCACCAGGTTAATTCAGACCAACAATTAAAACTGCAAATGCACCCCCCCCGCCAGTGGATTTTTACCTAATTCTGCTTCAGTGTGTAGCCAGAGAATGCCCCAGGCAGTGGGGATCAGGAAGGAGCAGATGTGGAGGTTGGGAGTGACTGCTCTCTTTCCACACATGGGGAAACTGAGGCACAGAGCTGCTGGAAGGGGGCCACTAAGCAAGAAGGGCTTGAGGACACCACTAAGCGAGAAGGGTTTGGAAGAGCAGCAGAATTCATGTCTGCCAAAGCTCTGGCCCATCCTTGCCCCGGCCAAGAGTGTCTCCGTGCAGGCTGCCAGGAGGATTGGCTTTCTCCTGTGTTTTTGGAGAGCTTTTCCCTGGCTGCGTGACCTGCATCCCGCAGCAGCTCTTGCCCTTCCCTTGCTGTGCTGACCTGCCTCCCATCTGCCCTGCACCAGAATAGCAACAGAGCAGAGTGAATCCTTGCCACAAACAAGGTGGCATTCACTTTGCTGGCAGGGAGAGGAAAAAAAAGCTATAAAAATAACACTGAAAACTGCCCCATGCACAAGGGAGGTTTAGGGAGTGCACTAGCCAGCCAGTGGATTTTCACAGGCTTTAAATAATATCTTTAATATGGGAAGAACCTGATTTACTCCCTGTCTCTCATGTGCTGGCAATGGGCCAGGTCCTCCTGTGCTGTAACTGTGGTGGCTCCAGCAAAGCCCCATGGGCAGCTCCAGGGCAGTGCCCAGCCCAGCTCCACAGCCCCAGGGGGACCCTGGCTGACCTCCCCAGAGGGACCAACACAGCAATTTTGGCCTTGGTGGAGAAACAGGCGCTTTGCAGCCCATGTCAGCTCCTTCTTTTCCATAGGGAACCTTGTTTTCCTCAAAGCGTGTTTTTCTTGGGATTTATTTTCCACAGCAGGATTGGATGTACCGCTGATGCCCACATCCTGCCGCATTCCCGACACAGGGAGCAGCGTCCACCCCTCTGTGTGCCCCATGCCTCGTAAAGCCAGGGCAGGACCAAGGGGACAAGCAGCCCGTGTCCCACCACACCGCCATGCACGCTCAGCAGGGAACTCACCAGAGCCAAGTGGTCCTCGGTCTGTCCGTGGGAGAACAGGGAGAGAACCAAGAGGCACCGTTAACTCGAGCACCCCATCCCCGCTGCCACTGCGCCCCACGGCACCACACCCTCGCCTCCACGGGACACACACAGCTTACAGCGGTGCCTGGGACAGGGTCTGCACCACCAGGATGGTGCAGGCAGCAATCCAAGCCCTCCTCCTCCTGGGATGTCCCCTCCAGCACGGCCCCAGCCAGCTCCCACCACTACAGCCCTGGCAGGGCCCCTCACCCAGCCCAGCCCATCCCAGCAGAGCTGTGGGCACTCACCAGATGGTGCATCAGCCCCTTCCCGCTCTGCGAGGTGATCACGCGCAGGTCCGGCTTGCGGCTGTTGGCGGCGAGCTGCGTCCCGTGCGAGGGCGGCGGCGGCGACTTGGCCGGGATGATCTTGCCCAGGCTGCTGCCGTTGGACACGGGAAGGAGACCCGGAGAGGCTCTGGCACTCACGTAGCCATTTCCTGCGGGGGACAGAGAGGAAGGAGGTGAAGGCTCGGCCATGGCTGGATGCGTGGCAGCGGTGAATGCACGGCGGTGGACGCACAGACGGTGAACACAGGGCAATGGCGAATGTATGGTGATGAACACGTGGCGATGGTCGATGCACAGCTGTGCTAAACGGGTGCATGGTGAGTGGTGCCGCAGTGGGGCTCCATCAGTGCTCTTCCTCGTTGGAGAGCAGCGCCGCACCCCCCCAGGCTCCCCAAAACCCTCCTGCACCCTGGCAGGCTCACCCTGCGGGGTGAAGAGCCAGGACAGGCAGTAGCCCACAGTGCTCAGGGCAGCTCCTCAACCTGCAGGGACTCCCCCTTGTTCCTGCAGTAACACCCAGCAAATCTCAGAGCCTGATCTGCAGCCAGGCTCTTTCTGTGCTTTGGCCAGGCACCGCAGCCCTGCCGAGATGGGTAATTACTGGCCCGTTCACCTTTAAGCTCTCTTTATGGCACTGGGGCAGTGAAAAGGGGCTGTGGCAGAGTGAGGACTCAGTTCACTGCTCCCACTGCCCCTTTGAAGATCTAAGGTTCCCTCCTTCTCCTCCTCCTGCTGCCCCACTTAAGGATTTCATGTGCAAAGAGAGGAGAAAAAAAAAGAAGAAAGGAAAGGAAGAAAAAAAAAATAAAAAGGAAAAGATTTGATGAACATCAGGAAAGGAATAAATTGGATCAGATTACTGTTCTGATGAGGGTTGGGTTTTTTTTCATGAATAGGCCCCAAAGATAGAAAGGCGTTCAGCAATCACCAGGATTCAGCCCTCATATTCATTGCACGTTAGACCGGGAAAAATAGGTCGCTGATTGCATTATTAATCACATCTAGCATTGCGCTGCATCTGCATTTCAGCAGGCGGCTGGTGGCAGTGACGCCGCAGCCGCAGCGTGTGGGGGCCCAGCGCCAGCCGCTGCCTCCCCGGAGCTGTCCCAGGCTGGACACAGCAGGGATGGGCTGGAGCAGGCACAGGAGGTGGCCGTGATCCCTGGGAGCCGCAGCTCCCATCCCACACACGGCACTGCGGACGGGAGGCGCTGCCCCAGTGGGTGCCGGGGAGCCACTGGCGGGGACAGCCGTGGTGGCCGGGCTGGCTGGCAGCTGTGGCATCCGTGTCCCTGACGGAGGTTGAGGAGCAGCCTTTCTGTCCCCAGCAAGGTGTCCTCCCAGTCCCCAGTCACCGTGAGCAGCTGTGCATAAGGCATGTGCCTGCTGCATCGGGCCCTGGCACCTCCAGGCACCGTGAGCTGCTGGAATCCTGCTCCCAAGGCCACCGGCTTTTACGTTTATTAACAACAAAGGTGCAGAAATTCCTCAGGTGACCTTGGCTACCCGCAGTGGTGGTGGCCAGGGAAAAGCCAAAAGAAATGTTAAACCCTTTGATACTCTCCTTCCCAAGGCACCACCAGCATGGATGCACACGGGGCTCGCCTGGTGATTCCCTCTTTGAGACACACCATGTAATCTGTGCATCACCTGGGGTGTGGATTGGGGTGGCTCCCTGTGCTGGAAAGGAGCTGGTTTGGGTTCCAGTGCTGCCACTCACCCCCAAAGATGAGTGGCCTTGGGCTGTCACTGCTGCTGTCACTGCCATGTCCACCCAGCATGGATCCAGCCACCCCTGTGAGCCAGAGAGGGAAGGGCTACACTCCCACCAGGACTTCCCAACCAAGGGCCCCCACCAAAAAAACTCTAAAAGAGAAGCCTGCCTCGGCACCACCCTGGCATGAATTTGAGTGGGGACAGTCAGGACTCAGCATCCCCCTGCAGAACAGGTGGGGTGGACCGGGTGCTGCATCCTGAGGGTGGCACATGCCATGGAGTGTGGGCAGGATGCAGGGATACAGCGACATCACTGCAGGATCCGGCCAGAGGCACCCGCAGCTGATGACTCAGAGGCAGCAGGTGATCACTCAGTGCTGCAGAAACTGCAAGGGAGGAGAAGGAGGAGGAGGAGGAAGAGATGTACCAGGTATTTGAAAAGCGCAAGCGCAGTGCCAGAGCCACAGTCCCCTCCCGCAGCCACGAGGGGAGCCCCAGGGAGGGCAGGGGGCTGGGGACAGCAGGGGTCCGGGGCTGGCCACAGCCAGGCTGTCCCTGCTCCTCACACCCATTTCCTGCAGTGGCAGCAGGAACGCAGGGAATGCTTCAGTGACGTCAATGCTGACATTCAGGGGCCCTGCCAAGCTCTGCGCCCGCCATGGCTGCTCCCGACAGCTGACATGGGGGCGGCTGCAGGAGAACGGCAGCCTCAGAGGGGCCGGGGGCTGTGGAACCACGGCCCCTTCCCTGTGCTCTCAAGGATTAGCAAAGCTCCGAGCTGGGTGCTGTGGGAACCCAGGGAGATGCTGCCCCACAAGCCACCCTGGCAGGTTTTGCTCTGCCAAGAAATCCCTCTGGCGCTGGCATGGCTGCTGCCCAGCCCAGGGAATTGGCTGCTCCTGGCGGTGGCCAGAGCGCAGGGGATGGGGTCGCGTGGCCACAGCGCTGCAGCAGCACAGCTGGGCCGACCCCACCCGAGAACCGGCGTCACCCGGCTCCGGTTCGGTTTTAACCGGGGCAATGTGGAATTCCACACTCCTCCTCCGTGCTGCCAGCTGCAGACCCACTGCAGAAAGGCCCAGAAGGGGTGAGGAGTCAGGCTCCTGAAGCAAGCTGCCTTTGCCCTGGGATGGATGGCATCTACCCTGCCAAGCCTGGGACCACTGCCAAGCCCAGTGCCAACAGCAGCAGCTGCTTCCCAGCAGGACCCAGGGCTGTCGCTGGTTTTTGGGCTGTGCCTGCACCAGCAGCGGCCCAACATCCTCAGCCTGCAGACAGCAGAGGCAGATGTGGGGATGGAGATATTGTTAGTGCATTTTACAGCTGAGGAACTGAGCCATGAGGCCTGAGCCTCATTAGCACTGAAGCTCTCACAGTGGAAAAGGCCCTTAATGAGCTTTTTTCCCTTGCCATAAAGTTCCTTTATAGGGCCCAAGCGCGAGGAGGAACAGGGTGTTAATTGATCACCTGAGGACAGTGGAGAATTGGCTGCAGCACCAGGAGCTAAACCAAGAGCTACCCAAATCCTGGTCTTCAGGGGTCACCTTCCTGATCTGCAGCTCTCCCTGAGATCCTGGGTAGATGGAGACTCCTTGGTCACTGGGGTCTCCACTGAAACCAGCACTCCCCACAAAGGTGCTGACCTGGAGCTCCACATGCTCCCCATGCCAACCCCTCCCACTGCCAAGAGCAGCAAAATCTCCCCCAGCGCTTCCCTATGGACCAGCAGGGCTCAACAGCAAAGCAAATCCTCTGGGACATGTGGGGAAAGCGAGAGCAGGAGTGTCACATGGAGCCAGGGGTGCGGGGCTGAAAGGCTCCTCACTTACCCACGGGGCTCGGGCAGGCTCCGTTCGTGTTGTTCAGGTCTCCCCCAAGCATCGCCCCTGCAAAGCAAGCAGAGAGACGGGATCACCACCAACGCAGAAACAGGGTGAGCATCCCTGCTTCTGAGGGGCAGGAAGGCAGGGAGCACAGTGGAGGAAGGCGGAGGAAAAAAAGCGGGACTGCCTTCCTGGGGAGAAAGTCCTGGGCAAAACGAGCAGCATTCCTGGTGATCAGGTTGGGAAACATTATCCAGGCAGATCCGTTTCCTTTGGGAAGGAGCCAGGTGCACAGGAGCCTGTTCCAAATGAGGCAGCTTGGAAAACACTGCAGCTATTTTATTCCAACCCCCCCTTTGGGGGACACAGGGCCAGCGCTGCCAGGGGAGAGAGAGCCCCAGCAGCATGACGGGAAACACAATCCCCCCTGCAATGTTCACACCGAATGGAAACCATCCCACACTGCCAGGATGCCACAGCGACCCGTGGTCCCAACACTCGCAGCAAAGCACCGATGCTCCCCACCAGGCTGGGATAAACTAGACCTTTTTTATTCCCAAAAACCAGAACGTTTTGCCTCGCCCAGAAGAAGACTTGATCTTTTTTCTGCCTTGTTATGAAGTTATTTCTGAAAGCCACCTATTCTCCAGCCGGGGCTGCCTGACCACGCCGCGGGCAGCGATTGCAGCCGACAGCCGGCGCGGAGGCTCCGGAGCTGCGACCGCAGTCAACCCGGAGCCCTGGGCTGGAGAACGAGGGGCTTTCGATGCCAAACCCCACCTCTAACCACTGCCCAGCCCTTCTCAACCCAGATGGGGAAACCTGAGACACAAACCTTTATCCAGCCCCTGGCTCTCAGATCTGGGCTTGCAGCGAGCCCCTGAAAGCTGGAGGAGGGTGGGAGGGCTGAGCTGCTGCCGTGCAGGGAAGCACAGTTGCTCCCCATATGGGAGCAGGATTTGGAACAGCAGTGGTCCCAAAAATTGTACAGACTGAGAAAGGGTGAAATGGCCCTCTAAATGTGGCAAATGTGACGTGCAGAACCCTCCCCTCAAGGGATGGGGATGCAAAACCAGAGGTCCCTGTGGCTCCAAAGTGCCACGGAAGGGACTCCAGCAAGGGCTTGTGTGGCTGTGCCCTGCTGTGAGACCCCACTTGCATCCCAGGCACCAGTGCCCATGTGGCCAAAGAGGGCTCACCCCCTTGGGTGAGTGATGCCAACCCTGCCCCCAGCCCCATACACCCCCACCTGGCTGCCCTTCTCCCACACCATCCCTGAGCCAACAGCACCAGGCACCATCAAGGCACCCACCCAGAGCTTGCTGAGCATTTGCTTTGGAAACAACACAACCAGTTCTGGTGCAATGCTAAAAAAAATTTAGGGAAAAAAGGAGTTTTTCTAACATGCAAGGCCCTGGCTCCTATAAACAGGATTTCTTCCATGTCCCAGGCAGTGAGTGAATGAGACACAGATGGCCTAACTTGGAACACCTCTGCGCTCACAACCGCAGAATTATCCCCCTCAAACGAGCAGTGAGTGAGCTGGAAATGGCGAGCCCCCAGAGGGGTCTGCTTTACCAGGAAGCCTCTTCTGCTCTCAGCTGAGGGGCCTAGGAGAGGGCAGGAGATCCCTGCAGCCAGAGTGATGGCTGCCTGTGCCCAAGGAAGGCTCTGCCACCCAGCCTGGGGTGAGATGCTGCTCCCTGGGACCAGTCCTAGAGCAGAATGACCCCTGTCATTGCTCCTGCTGCATCCCAGCCAGGCCATTCCTCCTGCTCACCCTGACCCACCACACAACCTGCTTCTGGAGGCACCTCCCAGCCCTTCTCTCCCAATCCACCCCCTTCTCAAAGCTCCCCGGAGCTCTCCAAGCCCCAGGGGCTGAGGGCCCAGACATCTGGGTGGTCACTGGCAACAGCTCTGCCATTGCAGCCCAGGTGACTTTTACAGGCCACCTGTGACATCCAAAATACCAGGAAGGGGCTTTCTGCCCACGATTATGATTTAAGATCATACAGCAGGAGAGCTGGGCTGTGGGCCCACACGGTCTCTGTCCCCCCTGCCACTGCAGGGGACGTGGGTGACAGATCCTCTCCCCTACCCTGTCCTCTGCCACCCATCGCCAGTGCCCGCTGGGAATGACTGCTCCTCTGATCTGTCAGCAGAGCCACATGAGTAATCACCCACGGCCAACTGCAGCCAGCACAGCCCGACTCAGAGCAGCCCTTTTTAGGCAGCCAGGCCCCTGTCACCGGAGTGCCACCGGCCAGCAGGATGCCAGCAGCCACCCCCAGCCTGGGAATGGCACCGGGTGACTCATCTTGCACTGCCCAACACGAAACAGATCCCTGCAGAGATCCAGCTCTCAAACAGACCTAGGTGACGTGGGGAGCTTGCCCTCAGTTTGGGGCCAAGGCACAAACAGGGGGTATCAACGTCTGGCAGGAGGGCAGGAGCACACACTGAGGGGCAACAACCCTTCCAGGATGCTCCTGCCACCCACAGGTGCTGAACTGTGGACCCTGGACAGGGGATGGAAGCAACAGGGGCGTCCCCTCCCTCAGGGATGCCCCACGCTCGGTGCTGCCCAGCCAGGCAGGAAGGATGAGGAGGTGAGGGTGCAGAGGGGCACAGTGAGGCTCACCTGCACTGGCTGGCCGCTGTGGCAGCCCTGGGGACACCGTGTTCCTCTGCAGTGCTGGCTGCTGCGGTGACAGGAGCCGGGGGTCTGTCAGCGAGGAGGTCACCAGGGACTGGGTCACCAGGGAGCTGCCTGGGTTGCTGAACTGCAGCGTGTTTTGGTTGGTCACCGGCACCGTCACGGGCATGGCGAAGTTCGGAGCGGGCACTGTGGACTGAGCAGAGAGCAGGGGGTAAAGGGGAGCCAGAGCGGAGTTCCTGCAGCACAGCACAGCTGCTGACCAAGGTCTCCTCAAACCTCCACTGCTGACCTGCAGTGCTGTGCTCAAACCCACACTGGCACCCTGGGGGTGATGCAGCAGGGACCACCAGGAAGAGCAATGGGCTATCCCTGGACACACCAGAGCTCTGCAAACAACTATTTCGACCTCATTTTCAGGCTGCATTGATTTACCCCCTGTGTTTTCAGGGCAGGCATGAAGGAGAGGCTGGGAGCTGTCCAGAGCATGAAGGAGGGCACCAGCCTGGTGGCCTGCCCCCACGACAGCAGCCAGGCTTGGCACGACCCTTCACCCCAAGCAGGATTCCATGAGGCCGTTCCTCAGCCAGCAGTGGATCCCACTCTGGGCTGGCACTGCTGCTGCTGGCCGAGCACCTGGGAAAGACTCATTTTGCACAGAGCCCCTGGGTGACTCTGGGATCCATCCTGTCTCCTCTGGGAGCTGCTGGGAAGGAGGAGCTGACCCCAGGGATGCAGGAGCATTGCTAAGCCCTATCCTTGGCTGCAGGTTGAAGACCAGCTTCACCTACCAGTGTCCCGTGGGAGCCAGACCCGCCGCGATTATCCCAGCCGTTTGTCTTATGTCACTGATACGCTCTTCGTTAACAGGAGCTGGCACCTGCTTACAGGCTTTAGTACAGGCTTTGCTAAAGTCCCACTTTAATTTGCTCCAGGATGGAGAGGCAGAGTAGCCCAGCACTGAATGGGAACATCACAGGGCCAGAGGTGGAGCCCCTCAGGCTGCACCAGCGAGGGAAGAGGGAGCTGAGGTGTCCCCACTGCAGCTGGTGCATCTCCCCCCTGCCTTGCAGCCTCCTCTCCTCCAGAAATCTGCTCCTGGATAGGTCCTGCTCCTTAGGTGAGAGAGGAGGATGGGAGGAAGGAGTAGGACAGTGCTCACCCACGCCTCGCTGCCAGGAACTCTCCCCACCTGCCTCCCAAGGGCATCCTGTCCTTCAGAGATATCCCGTGGCCGCAGCCAAGCCCGAGCCTGCGCTGTGGCACCGCTCCTGGGGCTGCCGTTCACAGGGACAGGCTCAGCAATTCCTACACCACCAGGGAGAGCTGGAACACGGAGCCCTCCCTCTGCTCAGCCCAGGAGCTCATCCTGCACGGCAGCAGAATCGGAGGAGGAGGAGGAGGAGGAAGGTTTCTTGGGCGTTGCACGAACACCGGAGCAGTGTTGTGTAATAAATCACTGCCAACGCGTCCATGTGCGCACAACGTTCCTGGGGAGGGAGAGGAAGAGCTGAAGCTCCTCCACACCACAGCGTGAGTGAGGCTGTGGCAGAGCCCAGGTTTGCCTGAACCCGGCTCCACCCCACGGCACCTGTGGACGAGCGTCAGGCTGACGCTGCCCCGGCACAGCCGGGCCCTGCCCCGGACAGGGCACGAGGGACACGGCGGTTTGCACATCGCTCCAAAGGCTGGGGGAGAAGATACACACATCAGCCAAAACCCAATTTCTGCTCTCGTTAGAGGTCAGGGCAAACACCAGAGGCAGAAGCTCCGCTGAGGCCTTTCATTAGGCTGGCGCTAAGCTGCCCCGGCCACGCCGCTGGGTTAGTTCTGATCACACACAAAACCAACCCAGCAGTTAAAATGGAAAAGCGTCTTCTTCACCCACACACACTCCACCTGCACTGCTCGGCCCCTCGCTGCCAGGGAGGTTTAGTGGGGGAGCCAGATGCTGTGCCCTGATGAGGAGCCGCCCAGCACTTGAATGCCACCTGCTGAAAGCACTTGTGGGCACGGGTTGTCCCTCTGGGTTGGCATGTCTGGATGATGGGGGGCCTGCTGGGGGCCCTCCCTTTGCAGCAGACACATCCTGGAGCCGAGCAGCCCCTGCTCATGAGGGTGTTCTGCACTAAGGACAAAGCTCAGGTGGCTTTTGAGCCTGTTTTCCACCAGTGGCAGGGCTTGTGCCAGGTGCTGGGGGGGGTGCATGTCCCGCAGGGGCTCTACTCCCACCCTACACACCCTGGCAGGGTGGGAACCTGCACCCCCCTAGTGAAAGCAGGGAGGCTGAGGTGGATCCATGTCCTGACAGAGCTAATCCTGCCCTGAGCCCCTCTCGTGGGGCTGAGCTCGCTGTCACAGCAGAGCTGTCGGAGATCATCACCACCTGCACCGCACTTTCCTCCACCTCCTCAGCCCTCCCAGGTCTCAGCACAGCCTCCCCACCCCCTCCACCCTGAGATCTAGGGGATGGAAATGCAGATTTTGGGATCCTCTCGAGGATCGTAGAGCAACACAAGGCTGAGTCAGCAAAATAAAACCTGAGGATTTCACAAGGCCCAGTTCTTGAGAAAAGCCAGAATTTTAACTTGTGGGGGCTTGCAAAGCACAGAAGGGCAGATTATTTTGGGTGGGGCTGTTCTGCTGTGCTGCATCCACCCCTGGAAAAGGAGCCTCCCCCTGCTCCTGCAGCATTAATTACAGCTGCAGCGACTCAGGGCTAATCCCCCGAAGAGCCCTTGCCTGCATCAACAGTCTCTGCTCCCTTGAACTAACAACTAATTTGAAACGTGTCCCCCTCCTCCTCCTGTCTCCTGACACAAATCCCTTTCAGCACTGTCCTGATGCTACCCCGGTGCCAGTGAGAGCTCCGGGATCACAGGCTAAAACCTCCCTGGATTTCTGCCACGGCCACCAGCTGCCCTGAGGGCTCAGTGGATTTGGGGGGAATTAATGTGGAATAGCCCAAACCAGGCTGAGCTTTGCAAGGATGGGAGGGGTCGGCACCTTCCACCAGCTCACATGAACACTGGGATCTTAACCCAGACAAAAATCTGGTTCTTTTGAGGCAAAGAGGGTGAAAAAGGAGGCCCTAATCCTGTACATGCAGGAGCAATATCCTCCTGCACTGCCTGGCCAGAGCCAAGGAGGGTCAGGAATGCCAGAGCTAGTAGGAAATATTTTCCCAAGGATGGGAAACAGGAAGGGCCCTCAAGAACCAGGTGCATTCAGGGCTGAAGGGGCTGTTGGCATCGGCTCCCAAGGCACGGCACGGCTCCAAAGCAAAGCCATGCAAAATCCACCCCCCCATCACCTGGAGGCACCGGGGAGGGGACCAGGGGGGCTGCAGGCCACCAGCTACTCACTGCGAGCCGGTAACTCTGCATCATTTTATCAAACTCCTCATCAATCTTTTTATATTTCTCTTCCGTCTGCGGGGTCAGCGCAAACACTTCATCCCCTTCCGGGCTCTCGCACTCCCTGTGCTTCTTGTTCAGCGCCTGTTACATGTGGGGGGACACGGGGGTGTCGGGGAGGGAGCGGGGACGAGGTTCAGGGGAAGTCGAACAGGAGAGAAACAAAACAGAAAAGAACATATAATGAAGGTTTTCCAGGCACGGGCAGGTACTTACACCGTATCGCTTGAACAGGATATCCAGATCCTCGCTGCCTTTGCGGTATTTATCCTCCATCAAGGGGCTCTGGTCTATGGAGTCGTCGCCGTCGGGCTCTGGGCTGTCACAGCCGTTAAAACCTTTCTTTCTTAACGTCTGAAAGCACAACCAGAACAGTCTGAGATGGGGAAGAGGAGCTGGGGAACACGGGCAGGTACCCCCAGGAACATCCCCTGGCCTGCCTGGACCAGGACTTGCCCCTGGACAAATCAACACCATCACCCCAAGCTGTCGCTGACCTCAGAGGGGTTAAAAACTCAGGATACAGCCCCTGGGTTCTGATGCCAGGTTTCTCCAATTTAGGAATTACAGCACGGGGAGAGATGGAGAGAAACTTCCTTGTTTTCAAAGGTTCTGTTTATACCAGGACTGAATTTGGCCCTACATGAACTCAGGCATCTTCGTCACTTTCAGGTGCCACAACATCATGAAGGGAGAAAAAACTTTAATGCCCTTTGCTATCCTGCAAAAGACAGGGAAAACCTGCTTACAAACAGCCAAATAGGAAAAGAAACCCCAAAATTATAGGCAAATTATCAAATTTGTCAGAATTTCCTGACGAAACCAGACAAGTGGAATTTGCCAAATGCAAAGGTGCTGCAGGAAGAGCATGGCAGGACATGTGGCACAGTGAGAGCTGCTGGGGGTGACACAGGGGGTGATGGTGACAACAACCCCGCACCAGGACTGGGCTCATGAACAGGAAAGGTCCTGGGCACTGCTACGTACAGGTAATGAGGAGAGACAAGCACTCCTCATCAGGAGGAGCCTGGTGACACTCCTAAATCCCTCATTCATATTCAGCAGCCAGTGGAGATCCACCCTGAATCCCTCTATTTTCAACACACCAAAAGCAATCAGGCATTATGATGGAAGACGGAACCAGCACTTGCCAACTCTTCTTTTTTTTTTTTTTTTTAGAAGTCAAAGCTACAGAATTTCCTGGAAGTCTTGATCCCTTTTCATGCCAAATTCAGTAGGGAAAAAGAAAGAAGAGAAAGAAAAAAAAAAAAAGTCTTGAAAATTCTCTGTCTTCCTTACCAGCAACAAACATCTCCGTTCTGAGGCCAAAGCGTGCTTGGGAGTGGCTCTTCAGCTACCTGCGTGCTCCAGGAAACACAGAGCTTCTGGGGAAAATGCTGCTGGAGCAAATAAAACCCACGGATGTCTCCAGAAGGGCTGGGAATGCTGCAGGTGGGATTTGCTCACCACCTCACCACAGGTCATCGATGGATGCTTGTGCCAGGTAGCCACAGCCAAGCAATGGGCACCACACCCACCCCAGCCTGCTCTCCATCCTGCTGGAGCTTTTCACAATATTTTCCATTAAAATTACTCCTTCCTGGGCCTTCCCAGGCACCATTTTCACCCTTGTTACTGGATTCACCTGCAGAGGGGAAACGTCCTCATTCACATACAGCTCCACAAGAGAAGCACCCGACTCTCTCCTGGTGACATCTGATGCACTGTTTGGTGTCACCAGTAATTCCTGATACCTAATAATTATTAACTAATTATTTAATAATAATGATTATGAATAATTCTTATACCTAATATTAATATTAAACCTAATAATACTTAATAATTCCTGGTATCCCTAATTCCTGTGTTGAGTCTCTATAAAGAAATGCAGTGGGAATCGGTCACTGCCATGAACAGGAGATTCCCAGGGCTTTTTCTGCAGTTTCCTGAGGACTTTTCCCTATTATTTTTCTATTTTTGTACATGTCCTTGTTTGTTCACAGAACGGCCCAAAAGAGGAAGAGGTGCTGCTGGTGGGGAAGGAACAGCTTTGCCTTTTTTTTTATTTTAAACTGCTTTTTGTGGATTTTTTCCCCTAAACCTTTTGTTTCGCCGATGCAGCTGAAAAACAGAAAGTTGAGCTTTTCTCTGAAAAAAAAAAAAGTTTTTTTCCTTTTTCAGAGGCAAAATGGAAAAAGTTGTTCCATGAGCAGCGAAGCTGGTTTTCCTTCAGGCACTGGAGAGGCTCTCTGATGTCTAATCTTGACATGATTCCCTTTGCAGGGACAGGAGCTGAACCTCTCCTCTCTGCCCTTCCATCCCTGGAATCAGGAAGGTAATCCCTCACATCCCTGAAAACTCCTCTCCTCCAGCAACTCAGAAGCTGTGGGGATGGACAAGCCACCGCCATCCTCCAGGACCCTCAAAGGAGGGAACGTCACAATGGGGTTTTTCAAGAGGTTTCAGCCAAGCAACAACATTTGTCTGTGTAAAGCCTGCATCACCACTGCCACCAGGGAGCTTTCCAGGCAGCTCCAAGCACCCTCAGATCCACCTGCATTGGATGCCTGAGCCGAGCCCAGGGAGGAGCGAGGGGCTGCCACCACCAGCCACAGCGTTTTGCCATTTCAGCATTTTGCCATTTCTAAGTCCACACAAAATCATGCTGGGGGTTGTTCCCTCAACAAGTCTGTCAAGGAGAGCAGTGGAACAGGATGGATGTGGCTCTGCCCACCCAGACCCTGAAACAGCTCATAGCATCACCCCTTCATCTTTCCCAAGCTCTTTTTCTGTGGGCCTAACACATTTGGTGTCCCAGCTTTGCCTTGGTCTCTTTGTTCTCCCCAGCCACCAACTTTGTAAAATCATTAATAACTTCATTGTTTATGAGACCCACAGCTCTTCACAGGGGCGGCTCCTCAGCAGCTGAGCTGTGAGGGGCAGCTGTGGTGCCACCAGCCCTGCTCTTGCAGGAAAGATGCCAGCAGTGTCAGGAAGTGTCAAACCAGTTGTGCATGGGGGAAAAAAATCCTTCCTGGACACTACAGGCAGCAGCATGAGCTGGGATTGTAACCTGGGAACGTGACCTTGGAGCTGGGATTGTAACCTGGGAGCTGGGATTGTAACCTGGGAGCTGGGAGCATGACCCCCAAACTGGGATTGTAACCTGGGAACGTGACCTTGGAGCTGGGATTGTAACCTGGGAGCTGGGAGTGTGACCCCCAAACTGGGATTGTAACCTGGGAACTGGGATGTGACCCTGGAGCTGGGAGGTGACCCTGGAGCTGGGATTGTAACCTGTGGCAGCGGGAGGGGCTGCAGGCAAGGGGATGGGGACGAGCTGCAGAGCTGGCAGGGCTGAGCACAGGGGGATGGGAAGCACCGGCGGCGGGGAGTGACCGGGCTGGAGTCGCAGCAGGACATGAGCCAAGGCAGCGTGGCTTGCAGCAATCTGCTGCTCAAAGAGAGCCCTGGGACAACAAAATGCCATTTCCAGCCATACGGGGCGTTGGCTGCTAGTTCTTTCGGGTTTTTTCACCAAAAAAAATGTGTGTCCCACATTTTTAGCTTTTTGTCAAGATGATGTAAAAGGAAAACAATTTTGCTGGAGCGGGAATCAAACCCAAAGATTCCTGGTTTTGGGAATCTCTGCAAGGTCTTTTAGAAAAGAACTTTCCTTCTCATTCCCCCTCTTTCTTTCTGCCAGGGGAAAAACAGAAGATGCAAAGAGGTTTTCAGGAAACCTTTCTGTCACTGGGCTGCAGCCAGAGGAACACAACAATTTTTCATGTGGAAGAGATTTAAAAGCGGTTTCTTTCCAGCAGAAAATTTTCAGAGAAAACCAGGGTGAGAACTTCCCATGGCAAAAACCCACCTCAGTCATCACCTGCCCCTCTCCCTGCCACGCTCAGGTCCCCCCGTTCTATCAGGACCCACTGCACATCCTGCTTTTCTAGGCACTATTGCCAACTTCCATGATCCCAGCTCACAGGGGAGCAGATTTCCAACCCGAAGAGGGTAAGAGAGCAGCAGGAAATGCAGAACATGTGAGAGGAAACGATGCTCAACCAGGATGCGGTTGATTTCCCTTACAGGAGGGAGACTCAACCACTCTGGGCTTTGGGGAAGTCTGGATGAGGATAAGGATGAGAATGAGGATGAAGACATGACACTGGAAGCTGCCCCTACATTTCACCACCTCCCCAGCATCCTGCAAAACGTCTGATTTAACACATCCTGGGGAATGCCAACCCCAGGAAGGAGAATTAGGGGAAAATCAGCCCCTCCAGGACATTCAGCCAAGGAAAGGGCAGAAATGGCTGTGTGGCTTTAACTGGCTGTGGAGCATCCTGGTGCCTGGTGAGCTCTGCCCTGTCCAAGTCCCTTATCAGGAGCTGGCACGTCAGGCGGGCTGTGAGGAAACGAGAAGCGACAGCGAGGACCAAAGCCGGCGTGATCCCAGGCGGGGCGCGCACGTGGCACCCAGCGTGCCTGTCTGGGGGCTCAGCTGTCCCCCGCCTGATTAAGGAAACCCCCCTCTCTGCATTAGAGAGATTTTCTCAGACTTAAAAGCCTGCAATAACCAGGATTTTGCCAGGCACAGAGAAGCTGCGGGGCTTGTGTGGCTGAATCCCACTGCTGACAGCCGCTGCTGAGCCCTGGCACAGCTGAAACACGGGGGTGTCCCCACAGGGAATGGTTCCCAGAGGTGTGGAACCCCTCTTGAACCAGCTCAGCATGGAGCAGCTCTGCCTCTCACTAAATATCCAAGGGATAAACCCCTCAAGGACATTCCTGTGCAGCACAGGAAGGGGTGCCCCCAGTTCCACCCTCAGATGCACCTCTCCAGGACCAAAAACCAGATCTCATGTTTTAAAATGTGATTAGCACAGAGCAACTCATCCTGCCTCGAGCTGTGGTACCGGTGCTTTTGGCCCCAGGAGCCCCCAGCCTGGGAGTGCTTGGCTTGGCCCTCTGCAACCACTGCTCGCTTCCCTTCCACCAGAAAAACAAAATCAAGAGGCTTCTGCCTCAATTCCTCCAGGTCCTGGCTGCTCCTCATCCTTCCTGAGATGCTGCCAGAGCCACTCAGGGCCGAATCCCTCAGCAGAAAGGGCTGCAGGCATCACAGGGAAGGTGGGTTGATGCAGCAGCCCCTTGAAATCCACTTAAAATCATATTTGGTGGCAAATTCTCAGCCTGGGTTTTCATGGTCTCTAAATGCTCAGTGTGGGGAAGCTTCCAGAATGAGAAGATACTTTTTGTGAGTCAAGTTCAACTGGGAGCCACCAAGAAACATGAGATAAATTGGATTTGTGTGCAGTGGGGACACAGCTGGGCTGTTGGAACCTGGCCTGGGCGAGGGGAAATGGAAATCAGCACCAATGGTCTCCTGGGATTCAGAAAACAGTAAAAATCTTAGAGCAGCCCCAACCCTGCTCCCAGACAAGACAAGGATGAGGAGGGATGCTTGAGCAGCCTCCAAACCTGCCTGCACCCCAGCAGGTTTTGCTCCATGACAGCTCTGCCAGCAAGACATGCCGAGCCCGGCGTGTTTGGGCTCTTTTTCTTGCCATCCACCAATATCCTTCCGCTCCCGATGTTCCTCTCTCTGGCTTTGGATGCAGATCCAGCTTTTCATGTGGTGCAAACACAGTGTTTCTTTGGGTGCCAAGGACTGTGTGTAACTTGTCGGCTTGGGAGTGTTTGCATCTTGGACCATAAGGGAACAGAGAATGCTGCCCAAAATGTTTACGGTATTTTTAGGCCAAGACAAATCTGTTCGATGCTGCCGCAGTTTGAGCATCCCGAGCGCGGCAGGGAACCGCCGGCATTTGCACAGTTAAGGGGCATTACCTGCCTCAAACAGGTCAAAAAGGACACTTCTGAACCATTCTGAAGGCCCCTACAAAACTGTGCTGTGGCAGAAGAGTCTCCAAATCCCAGCAAGGGAAGGCAGATGCTGCAAGATGCTTGGCCGTGGGGTAAAAACCTCAAATCCAAATCTCTCAAAAAGACACATTTTACGGAGCGTAAGAAAGAAAGGAAAAAGCAAGATTTTGGGGGACCGAGGCAGGCTGGGTTTTTTACCCTTCTCCTTTATGAAATCAAAGCCTGAGGATGCTGACCAAGGGGCACCAAAGGGATCCAAAGGCAGAAGCCCAGTTCCTCCAGCAGTGCAGACCACGCTGCTCCACTGCCACCAGTGGCTCTGAGGGCATTAACTGATGCCCATAATGTCAATAATTACAAAGCCAAGCCCTCCATTTGCCCACTTGTCCAGATTTGATGGCAGTCCCCATGCTGAGGACCCTGCAGCTCCATCTGCACAGCTACTGCTGAGGGAGAAGAAGTGACCGATGACTGAGGCAGTGGTGGCACTCTCCTGAGAGCCAAATGTGCTGTGCTCCGGCCCAGCCACGCTCTGCCAGCACCAGGGACAAGGACAGAGCTGTGGAGAGGGCCAGCGTGGGGGCACCACCAGCACATGGCAGCTGAGCAGCTCCTGCTACAATGGCAGTAGGCTGGAGGAGAGCAGCCTTGAAGTGAGCACAGTTTGGGCACGGTGCCAGAGACAGTGCTGGGATGGGTCAGACTGGATGTGGTTGGGCCACCCCTGGAGACCCACAAAATGCAGCCAGACAAGCCTTGAGCAAACCCACCAACCCATGAGCTTGGCCATGCTTTATGCAGGCACTGGACCAGAGGCACGAGGTCCATCCCACCTGAATTCCTCTTGGATTTGGGCACTGGTGCCCTCCCACACCCCACCGTGCCTGTCTGAATTTGAGGCTGGGGCAATGTCACCAGCTGTACCAGGCACTGCAGAACCATGTCACCAGTTGTACCAGGCCCCAGTGCAGCAGCCCCAGGAGCTGCCTCCAAACCCACCTCAAGGTTTGCCTGGATTCCACAGCAGAGTCCCACAAAGCAAACCTGCACCTCAAGTTTCAAGGCAGTCGGTCAACACACAGCTGGAAATAGCTTCAACTCTACTCCAGAATGGAGTATTTTCATAAACCATGCAAAATCCATCTTGGCACTGGGTGTGAGAGATCTGCTTGCTCCACCCCCACCCTGCACCAAGCTCCTGCACCCCATGTGGAGCAGACTCAGCCCTGGCTCCAGCAAAGGGGTAAAGCTGGGGAGCGGACAGGCAGCCTCACCTCGATGATGTCTGCGTTGGTCCTGCTCTCATGGGGTTCATTGTACTCGGTGTACTTGAGCAGCACCTTGTCCATGTCGGTGCTGGCATACTGGAACAGCTTGTTGGAGTGGTTGAAGATGATGAGGGCAATCTCACAGTCGCACAGGACACTCAGCTCATAGGCTTTCTTCATCAAGCCGAACTTGCGCTTGGTGAAGGTCACCTGAAAGCAAAGACAGCCATGGTGAGAAGCTGTGTCCATGCTGACACAGACCCAACACCTCCCAGGGAAAAACAGAATGACCACTGAAGGAAGAGAAAGAGGAATGCAGAGGGAATATTCTGTCTCAGTTTCCCCAATTGGACCCAACCCCAAGCTCTCCTCTCTCGCCTCCCTCTTCCAAATGGTTCATATTGCTGCCTATTTTGGGATCCTCCAAAGGCAGACACTTCACAAGCACAAAGATGATTATCAGCATTGGAAATCACATATTGCCAAATCAAGAGAAAATAAATTTCAGCAAAATCCCCAGCAGAGCTGCCATCTGTCCGGGGGCTGCGGCTTTTTAAGTGGAATATTCAAGCAACAGAGATCTTGTCCTCACTTGCTGCAGCTGTGCTGTGAGTGCCCAAACCTGAGGGCCACAGAGCTGGGGCTCAGCACCCCAAAACCCACCCCTGAGCCACTTTCCTGCTCACCAACCCCACTTATCTCAGCAGGCTATGCTTCCCCCAGGGCACCACAAGCCCCCCAGTGCCAGGGGCCTGCCCAGCTGCCACCCCCATCTTGCTGCCCCTTTGTAACCTTGCTGGGGTGTTTTCCTCACTGCCTGCCCCTCTGGGGTCCCTGTCCCCCAGCCTGCCCTGTCTTGAGCTGGAAGCAGAGCTGCTGGCTGAGGAGGCAGCTCCTGCAGGACTGATCCTGGAGAGCTGGCTGGGGGCTGGGGCCGGGACTGGGTGCTGGCTCCAACAGCAGCTCCAGCTGCTGGGCAGACATCGGGCTGCCATTCCCAGCCCACGCTCAGCTCTCACCACCACGCTTCTAACAGGATCCAGCTGGTACAGAGGGAGCTGGTTTGGGGCTCCCTGTCCTGGTTGCTGTGCAGACAGCTGCTGAGGGTCCCCCACCCCCCAGAACGCACGGCACACTGACGGGGAAGGCGCGATGCTTGGCCAGTGCCCTCTCAGCAAATGAAAAACAGAAAAAGAAAATAAGAGGCAGGAGGTCACTGCTTTGTCCTAAGCATTGCTCTGGGGTCGAAGCAGCCTCCAGGGGAAAGGCTGGAGATGAGCTGAGATGCCCTTGGATGCCAAGACCTGCTCCCTCTCCACATGGGAGGGCTTGACTCCACTCTGGGCCTCCACCACAACACCAATTTTGCAAGTGAACAGCTTAAATTCGCAGAGCTGAGGGAGGAGAGTGAACAAGGCTGCTGCCTTTGCTCAGCCTGTCATTGGCATCACAGGCACGGTCCAAAGAGCTCAACTCGGAGCTTCCCAGTTTGCAGAGATGGTGAGGAGCAGCACCACGCCAGCAGCACCCAGTGTGCACCCCCAGGGTCCTGCACCCCTTGAGACACCCTGTCCCTGCCTGAGCAGGGAGGGCACAGCAGGGGCAGCTCTGGCCACACTTGGAGCTGCTGCCCCTCCCTGCCATCTCCCAGAGATGATTAAGCAGTAATGAGATTCGGCTCTAATCGCCTCATCCCCTGGAAAGTGTAGGGCTGGTACCCCGCGCTGCTGTGGCTGCCACGTGCGCCCGCTTTGGCCACGGCCGGGCTGTGGCCGTGCCACTCACATTGCCAGCGCCGCCCCAGCCCCGGCACACTCTGGTACAAATTAAATTACTTGAGGGCCAGCTCCCCTGTCACCAATAACTCCCCCTCCCCAGCAGTGTTCCAGACTTGCCAGCCAGCCAAAAGCTCTGCTGTGCTCCCAAGAGCAGGAGCTGCAGTGCCACTTCAGCTGGGACCAGCTGCGGGTCTGCTCCTGCAGCCGTGGCAGGACAGGCACTGAAACCACGAGCTGTCTCTGCCCCCCTGTCTCACTGTCCCTGCTGGGGCAGCCTCTGCGCTCTGACACCCTCCAAGCAGCTCAAGGAGCCCCGGGAGGAAAACACACAGTTTCCACCAGAACAGAGGGACCAGCCAAGGGTGGCTTCTGCAGCCACTGACACTGGAGGCCATGGGGTGAGGCCGAGATGTGGGGGCCAAACAATGGGGCAGCTCTTAGCCTTGAACACCAGAGACAAGCATGGCTTGGGTTTTGCCCTTGAGTAGTGGAGAGTGTGGGGTCATCTTCCCCAAATCAACAAGCAACCTGGGCAGAGCTGAGCAGAACACAAATCACCAAATTATCCCTCTAGAGAGGAGGGAATATTCCCTCTGCAGACAGGGCACAAGAGCATCCCTCTCTACTGACACCCCTACGTTCTGCAGAGGGAAGGAAGATTTGCCATTTAGCCACCATATCACACACAAGGATCACCTAACACAGCCTTGTGCATCCACTCACGACCCAGGACAGAAACCTCAAACCTTCCCCTGATGCCGTGCACGAGCCTCATCTAGAAGAATTAACCTTGTAAGTCTAAGAGGGTAATCAAATCTCATGCTTCAGGGCATAAGCCGATCACCAAAGGGGTCAGGAAGGAATTACTGCCCCACACTAGCAGGGGATTTCTTGCCTTTCCCCTGATGCAAACCATATTGGCAGTTGCCAGAGTCAGCAGCCTGGCCCTGAAGGACTGATGGCCTGATCTGTTGTGGCAAATCCTCTCCAGTAATTCCTCTAATGACATTAGTGACTCTGACTTGCTCTCCTCTCTTGGTTTTGGCTGCTGCTGTAATTCACGGAATCAAACACTGGTTTGGGTTGGAAGGGATCTAAAAGCTCATCTTGTCTCACCTCCCTGCCATGGGCAGGAACATCTTCAACTATCCCAGGTTGCTCCAAACGCTGTCCAACCTGGCCTTGAACACTTCCAGGAACAGGGCAGCCACAGCTTCTCTGGGCACCCTGTGCCAGGGCTCCTCCACCTTCACAGGGGAGAATTTTCCCCTAATATCCAATCTAAGTCCCCCTCTTTTCAGTTTAAAACTATTCCCCCCCTTTGTCCTGTCACTCCAGGTCCCTCTCCCTCATGGAGATTTAAAGTCCCTTCAGATCTCCCTGGAGCCTTCTCTTCTCCAGGCTGAATGCCTCCAGCTCTCCCAGCCTGGCTCCAGAGCAGAGCTGCTCCAGCCCTCGGAGTATCTCCATGGCCTCCTCCAGACTCACTCCAGCAGCTCCACATCCTGCTGCACTCCATGGTCTGTGCCCCTCTGGAAGGCAAAACCTGGGACACGAGCAGGGTCAGCTGAAGGAACAGCTTCAGCTCACAGCAAAGGCTCTGGAGAGCCCTTGTGCAGCCTCAGCTCTCCCTCAGGCTCGTGATGCCTCGGCAGCCCCAAGCCATGGGCAGCACGAGGGGAAACACAGGCATCAAAAGCAGCTCTGCCTCCACCTCCTTGCTCCAGCACCGGTGAATCCCTCATTCTCCAGGGCATCCCTGCACTATTCCCATTCCTCTGCCACCCTGGCGTGCCAAGGACTCCCGCAGGAACCAGCCCCATCCATAACTCATCAGCTCCGGGAGTGACACAGGAGGGCTGCCCGTGCCCTCTGCCCCTGCTGCAGCAGGGGGGCTGCCACGGGGGCAGGGGTGGGCTGAGGATGCTCCAAACGTTGGGTTTAAGCCAGCTTAGCCAACAGCCTGCAGCCACGCACGCATGGGCAGCGCTGATCCGCAGGGACACAGGGAGAGAAGCCAGAGGTGGCTCCGGGGGGACCTCACTGCAGCCATCCAGCACTTCAAGGGGCTTATCAAACAGACAGAGAGGCACTTGTTACACTGGCAGATAGCGATGGGACAAGGGCTGTGGTTTTAAATTGAAAAAGGGGAGATTTAGATAGGATATTAGAAGGAAATTTGTCCTGTGAAGGTGGGGAGGCCCCTGGCACAGGGTGCCCAGAAAAGCTGTGGCTGCCTCATTCCTGGAAGTGTCCAAGGACACACTGGACAGGGCTTGGAGCAAGCTGGGACAGTGGAAGGTGTCCCTGCCCATGGCAGGGGGGTGGGATGAGACGGACTTTTAAGATCCCTTCCAACCCAAATCATTCCATGGCTCTATGAGATAAAGCAGAATGGGACACTTCTGCCCCTGGGGAGTGGATCCTGGTATTGCACATGTACAGCAGGGACCAGGAGAGTGGAGCAAGAGGGTTCTCACCCTCTTTACAGCTCCTACCACAGTGGATAGAGCAGATCCCACTCCCCAGAGCAGTTCTTTTTCATGAAATGTCCTATCTTCCTGCTATGTCCTTTTTTCCCAAAGAAAGGGAGCAGTGAAAATTGGTTGCAAGCTGTGCTGGTGACCAATTAAACAGCTGCTGCTTTGCTGACACCCGATTTGATCGGGCTGGTTTCTGGGAAGCAAAGCAAGATGTGCTGCACTGGGGTGGGGAGCAATGCTCCCGTGCTGGGTTTTGGAGGAACTAGCCCAGCCAGGGATGCAATTACTGCCAGGGCAAAACCAGTGTCCCCCAGACCAGGGAACTGGGCTCTGGGGACACCTGACATCAGAGATGTGCTAAAGCCATGACACCTGGCCATGCAAAGCAACTCCTGCTGCCAAATCCCACCCGATGCTGTGAGATCTCAGCAAGGGGCTTTATCTCCAGCCAGTGCCCAAGAGCAGCTCATCCCTCAGAAACAGTCCCATCACCTGGCTGCTGCCTCTGCAGAGCAGTGCCTCTTTCCCTTCCTGAGGGTCTATCCAGCAGGGCCAGGCTGTGCCATCCCCCTCCAGCACCACCAATTATATTCCATTTCTTTGAACTTCCAACAGGGCTACAGTCACCCCAGATCCCTCACTCCCCTCTGCAGCACTGCCCCATAAAAGACACTCCAAATTCTTCAACAACCCCCAAGGCCCTGTTTCCTCCTCATGATGGATATAAACAACCCCAGGAGCAACTGGAACATCAGCAAAAACTATTTGATGCCTGTCCCGGCCCCCGCCACCAAGTGAAGCTATAATGAAGAAAACCTGCCATTTCCTATTGTTTTGCTGCAGAGCAATAAAAGTGGTTCATCCAGTTCTGTTCTTTGCCACTCTTTAAGGATTAGGAATATATCCACATGCTTTTTTACTATTTTTTCTGTTTTTCTGGAGTGAAAGTGGCAGGAAAGAAGTGTGACAGGTCATGCTGGAGTGCAGTAGTGGCTGGACTAAAAGCAGAGGCTTGGATCTGCTGAGCCAGACTGCAGGAGCACAGAAAGCAGAGGGAATTGCCTGGAAATCTTGTGGTTATGGGAAGTACATTGACAGAGTCATCCCAGAGCAAACCTGGGCTGGCAAAGTGCTGCTGCTCCACCACTCCAGTTTAAGGAACATGGAAATCTGGGAAAAATCTGTCAGATTTTGTTTTTCTCTGAGATACATTCCTACACACATGCACGTGTGTGTGTGTCTCTCAGGCTTGGCTTCCAGAGAGCCCAAGGAAAAAAGCCCTGGAGTCATTTAAGTTTACAATTGAGGAAAAAAATGGAATAACTTGAGTTGTTTGCGTTCAGCAAAATGGATACTTGTTGTGGCTGTTTTTTATTGGAAAAACCACATGGAAAATGTCAACTGAAATATATTTTCTGCAGGACAAAAATAATAAAAAAAAGGGAGAACTAACTAAGTGGAGAAGATACTTTCTTCTGGAAAAGCACTTAGATGGAAATGGCTCAAGGAGCAATGCCTGGATGGGGCAGCACAACAGGGCTGTTTGCCTGGTCCTGGATCTGGCCTCAGCACCAAGTCTCGCCCATCTGCTTATTTTATGGATTGGGAAAAACACAACACTGGTGGCCCAAAATGGGATGGAAATGGGTCATTTTGAAACTCAAACACTTAAAATCCCCAACAGGAGAAGGGTGAGGTGAGGGAGCGGGGAGAGACAGCACTTACCTGTCGATTGCGCTCATCCGTGATCCGCTGGATCTGGATCTTTTTTCTCCCCATCTTCTCTGGAAATCCTCTCCGCACCCGGGACGACTTCGGCTCAGGGGAGGGGAGAGCTAACCCCGCTTTAAAATGCTTTCATTAAAGAGCGTGGGGGGCTTTTTTCTCGGATGGAAAACAAACCCAAAAAAGCCAAAACAAAAAAAAAAAGTTTTGCGTGGCTTGGTGCTCAGTTCATGGTACCGTCGTGCGCAGCCAGACCCGGCGGGGCTGAGAACTCAGCAGCTGCTCACAAACCTGCACAGGAGAGAGACAGGAATGAGACCCTCTGCTCCCAAACCTCACCCAGGACCCCGATCCCCAGGGCCAGGGTGGTCTCTGGTTCTTTCTCCCACCCAGCTCTGGGCCAGGAGAGCAAGGATGGAGGCCAGGAACCCCCCGTGGCACAGGACACGTGTGGGCCGGGCACTGCGACGCTCTGGGCGAGGAGGAGGAGACGACAGCAGTGTGCCCGTGAATCACTATTCCTCCGTGACACTCCAGACTTTTTTTTCTCTTAATAAAGTCATAAGCAGTCGAGTGGCTGGTGATTAGCTCGGGCAATTTAAATCCGTCTCCAGTTTCTGCGCTAATCTTCAATTCGGAATTTTAAAATGTCTTTATTTGATTACTTGGAAGAAACCTTATAACCAGGCACAGAAACCTAGTTCTTATGGGGAAGGAGAACTCGGAAGGCAGCTGAGACAACCTGGCTTTCCACTGGGCTCAGGCACAGTGGATGTTTCCATGGATCTGGGGCACACAATTGGCTCGGTGGTATCTTGTGCCCAAACCTCTCGCCAAAGGGACGAGTGCTGCAGGTCACAGGGCTCCTTCTGCAGCCTCCCCACCATAACCTGCATCACCCAGCACCAGAGGCTGCACCAGATGTAGCAGGACACCTCCTGGCACAGCCCCCCAGCCCATCTCACCGTTTCCCAGCATGTGCTGCACTGAACTGACGGGACAAAGAGGGAACTTCAGCTAGTTCATTTTCCACAGGTATGTCTTTCTCCCTGCTCTCTCTCTGAGCAGCTGCATAACAGCAGTGATAACACTGCATTTAAAGCAAGGTGCCTTGTGCCAAGACCCAGGCAGAGGGAAAAACCAGTCCCAAAATAGCTTCATATCTGCCTCAATTTGGCACTCCCCAGCCCTCGGTCTTGTTACAAAAAGAATAAAAAAACCCCAAAGCTTTTTCTCCCAAACCATCATCCCAAATTCAAAGCAGCAGCCACAGCCAACCTGACCAAGTTCCTCCTGCTCCTGTCCCACCCCAGAGTGCCCCCAGACCCTGCTGAAGACCTTCCCCATCCTTCGCCTCCTCATCAGACCATGCTCCAACAACAAACAAGCCCTAATGGTCTCACTCCCACACTTGTTTTTGGGGTTCACTGAGCCATTTGAGTCAATCTTTCTGCTTTTTTAGGGGGGTAAAGTTATTCATCATGCATCATATTCTGTGGTTTCAGTGCAAGTTCAAGGAGCCCTTTTCCCCATCTCAATATCCCAGTTTGCCCTCCAGGGAAGGCCAGGAAGAAGATCAGAGAGACAAAGGACAGCAAAACCTGGCTATTTTACACATAAATCCCACCAGTAAGACTCTTGGCAAGGACAGACCATAAAGGGATGACATTTAATTCTTGAATCATTATTTACCAAAAAAGGTGCATGTTTCCCTCCCAGCAGCAAATAGGAGCAACCATGCAGCTGTGAGGAGCACTGTCACCACGGGGAACACTGGGCCAGTGCCAGAGGCACTTTGGCTGCTGCTCCCCATCCCACTGTGGGAAGCTCTGAAAAAACCAGGTCCCAGAGCATGGCCAGTTCTACAGCATCACCAGTTTCAGAGAATCACTGCTCCAGTTTGCACCATGTGAGTATCCCTCAAAGGTTAGTGATACAGGAAGAGCCAAAAGGAAAATGAGGATTTTAATTTCATCTACCTGGAGTGTCCGCTCAGTATTTCCCTCCCTGTGAGCCCACACAAGAGCCCAAAGCCTTGGAACCAAGAAGAGGATTTTGCACACACAGAGAAACTTTGGAAGAGGAGGAACCTTTTGTTGGGTTTGCTTTGCCGCTTTTCCCTTTGGAGTTGCCATTTCTCTAAACTGGCTGAAAAATATTCACCTTCAGCATCTTCAAAACCACCAGCAGCAGCACAAAGCAGCAACAGCTCCACAAGCAGACTCAGGGCAAGATGCTAATTCTTTCCGTGTGCTGCAGCTCTTGGACAGAGAAACCCTCTGAAAGACAGCGGATTTACTGTCCAAACCAGAGAGGAACTCTCCAGAAGCAACAATAAACACTAGAGAACAACGGGCAGTAAATTTAAACTGAGTGAAAGGAAACATATTTTAACACAATTTCATTGCAGGGCTTGTTCACAGGATGCTATGGCAGCCAAAAGCTCCACAGTGCTTGAGGAGATGGGATGTTTGTAGGGATGAGGAAAAAACCCTGGTGCTGCTCATCCCTGCGCTCAGCTCCACACGAGCTGGCATTTCTTGCATGGAGCAGTGGAATTCAAGCCACATTCCCCTCCCCAGGCCACAAACATACCCCAAGTGTTTCAAACCAAATCCCCTTTTTCAACCACCAAACCAGGTTCCTCCTGCTGCTCTGAATCCTGACTCTTCACTCTCAGCACCTTGGCTGGATCACTGTCCCAGCCTCAGGCTTTGCTCATGCTGCTGGATAAAGTTTTCCACAGGAAAAAAGTGACTTAACAGGATTCTGCTTGTCATCATGGGGAGAAAAGAAGCTGCCATGTGATGCTCTTGACCCCTCTACCCTGCCTGAGAAGGAAAACACCCCATGGGGAAAGCCACCCCTGGATGGGGTGAAGAGGAGGGATGGAAAAGAGCACATTACTTATTTTTAGGCTGGGCTTTTTCCCCCACCATAATTTTAAACCCAGGTATTTTCACGTTTCCTGCCCAGGTGCCTGTTTCAGAAAGTACAACCACTGGCTCGAGTTTCTGAACAGCAGCTGGAACAGCAAGAAACCTGGAGAGCCGCCTTCATCTCTCCTCTCCCTCTTGCTGGCACTGCTGCTGAGGCTTGGCCCCAACCCAGAAACATCCCCTCAGCCCCTGGAGCTCCCTCTCCTTCACCACCAAATTGCTTTGGCTCCCTGATTGCCCAGACCGAGGCACCAAGATCACCCACGGCCTTCCCTCCATGATCGGGTGGAATTTAAACCCTCGAACTCATACAGAAACAAGCACCCAGAGCACAGGACTGCAACAAGGAGATGAGCCCCTAAATAACCTCTAACTTTCAGGGTCTCAAATGATTTTCTATACAATAACCCCACTCATTAAATCATCATCATCTCCTTCTCAGACAGCAGCTTCTTTCTTTCTGCTGAGCCTCGTTTTCCAAGGAAACTGCCAAGCATGCCAGCTACTACACCCCAACAAAGAGGATCCAAGGGCATGGAAAGGAACCTCCAAATCCACTGGAGAGCAAATGACAGGTGCCTCACTGCAAAAAAGCCACCCTGACCCTCTTCCACTCCCAGGAATCTCAAGAAGGATCAGGGAATTCGGCAGCGAGGAGCTCTGGGATGGAGGCAGCCGCCAGCGCCCGCTTCCCCCTCCCTGCGCTCCGCTCGCACAAGTGTGACTATCACGGCAATTAGCACACATGCCAATTAACTCCGAGCAGGTGCTGGTTAACTCTGTGCTGAGTAATTCATCCCCGGCTCCCAGTAAATTGCTCCAAATTGGAGAGACAGGCGAGAGAGCAGAGTTAGCATTTTGCAAATGGGGGAAGAAAGAAAAAGCGCAGAGGAATCTCAGCTGGGAGATGTTTTTACAAAACAAGGAATTGGGGGGGGCTGAATCCCCAGCTCCAAGAGCTGGGGACAGAGAGGAGCCGGTATCTCTTTCAAGTCTTTTTTTCTGGATTTTTTTTATCTACTGTACAAATTTCTGATCTATTTCACCTACTTCTAAGTCGTTTCACCTTTGCTTTGCACGGCAGCGGGGTGCTCTGCGCTGCTCCATAACTTGTCACTTTTCCATTCCAACTGAACGGCCCCACGCTTCTCTTGGCACGAGCAGGGACACTGAGAGTCTTACATCCACTTTCTACAGCCATTTGCTATTTTTAATATACTTTTATTGCATCCCTTTTTAGTCTTTCCTTACTAAAGTTAGCTTGAAACACCGCCCCTCTCCAGGGCAAAGGAATTCAGCTGCCCTTCCTTAACACCCGCCTTGCAAAGCCGTGTGCTCTCAGCACAATGTCAGCTGAAAGAAACCAAACCTTGGCCACGCAGCTGCAGAGGGAAGATCAAAAAGATTAATCTGAAAGCTTTAGGAAGATAAATAAAGGCAAATAAATGCATCCTTTCCAAAAATGTATTTTCCTTTGGAGCTCTTTGCTTTTCCCAGCATGCGGCACCATGCTCCCCAATCCACTCCGTGTGCAGGAACACACGGCAGAGCCAGCGACACAAGTGACAGCAAAATTGGGATGGCTTCGACATGGCACCAGTTCAAGTGACGTTCTCCTGATCTCCATCCCCAAAACAGGTCCAGTGCAATGGCTTGGCTGCAAGGAAACCTGCAAGAGGAGGTTCAAAGGACATTTGGAGGCTGGGAAAAGAAGAAAAACGCTGCCCTCATCTTATGGAGGCACAGAAAGTCCCAGTTTGAAGGGAGATAAGCAGGTGACAGGTATGGCAGATCACAGCCCAGCCCAGCAACTGCTCCCCCCAGGCACCTCTCGCTGTGGGACCAGCCCATCCTTTACCCAAGATTTGCAGAATGCTCCCCAAGATGTGTTTTTCCTTACCAGGCTCCATCAAGTCAAGTCTCCCTGGCTGAGAGCAAAGGGAGTGTCCTCCCCACCACTATCCACCCCCAAGGACAGGACCAGGGCACTTGACACGACTGAATTCACAGACTAAAGCCCAAACACACTTTGGGGGTGTCAGGTTTATCCACATATAGAAATGACAGCAGTAACATGTCCCAGCCTTGCAGCTTCTCTGTGGGAAAAAAGGTCATTGCAAGGGAGCTTCAGCACACAACCAGTGGGCATGTGGGGTACAATGTGCAGGGTGTTACAGAACTGTAGAATGGCCTGGACATCTCATCCCACCTCTCGGTCACCCACTCACAGGGATAAATTTCTTCCCAGTATCCCATCTATCCCGGCCCTCTGGCAGTGGGAAGCCTTGTTCTGTCACTCCAGGTCCTTCCCTGCCCATGCCCAGGGCTGGATCCCATCCCTGAAGGACATGG